ACAAGTAAACAAGCTGAATGCCCACAACTGGGCACGGATGCAAAGGCAGCCTGCCCACTGGCCCTGCACACTTCAGGCATTGGCAGGAGTGGGGCAGTTGCTCCCAAAGGACCATAGGTCCTTCACGGGGCAGAATTAGGGTTCTGGGCACAGGGCAGCTGTTGCTGGCTATTGCATTTTCCCAAGCTGTTTTTGCTGTTAATGCCTTGTAAGCAGGATAGAGTCAGGCAGGGCAGCCCCCCCAGCTCACCAGGATGCACTGAGGGCTGTTGGCCGACGGCTGCAATGCTGATGCAGTGATCCCTGCTCTGCCTCACAGGGCTCATCCCACCTGCAGACTCCCTTGTTCCTCCTCATGCCCTGCCCCTTCCATAACAAGCCTCAGAAAACTTCATCCAGCCAAGCCCCTTCATTTTTTTTGAAAGCCCCCAAGCGTGTCTCATCAGCACAAACAAGAGGAAGAGAAGGAAGAAACTAGTTAAAGCAAAGTCCCAAGAAAGTGTTGTCTCATTACTCTCCACATCTGACAAAAGCTACCAAAGCTGCATTAAACTTAGGAGTAACAATAATTCATCACACTTCTGCCATCATTAATCCTGGGTAATTGTTTCTATAATTAAAGGCCCCATTGTGTCTTGTCTCTCTAATACAATTTATTAGATGGGGAGCAGTCTTGCATGAACGATGCATGGCTGCTGGGAAGACATCTGCCTTTGGGTTGCTCGCATGCAAGAAAATGCAGGGAGGCTGCCTCCAGTGCCAGCAGCTCCTGCATGCACCTCATGGCATTCAGCCCGGGGATGAGAGCCCACGGGGGATCAGAGCTCCTGGCCTGTGATCCACAGATGAGCTACAGCCAAGGAGCAGCAAGAGGAAGCACCTCTGGCCCCAGAGCTGTGGGAAGGCTGGGTTTGTTTCAGCAAAGCTGCATTAAAACCTTGAGGTGAGCCAGGCACGGCCCAAGGGGTAGAACTCTCCGCTGGTGATGATCTAGGTGGTCTTTCAACTCCCCCCTCCATGTTACCATCCCTGGAGCCCAGATAGGAACTGGCTGGAGTGCACAGTAGAAGATGCAATCCAGGACAGTTCCTCAGCTGCCCCAAGATGTTCTTGGCATAAAGTTCCCTTTGCTCCAGACTCCTCCTAAAAAATATTTTTTTGAAATAAACCCAGGAGCTACTAAGAAGGCGGAAAGAGCCATAGAGGTCCCGGAAGGCTGCTCACCTCCTTGGGTGACCCACAGTGAGGGGCACTGCCAGATCAGAGCTGGAGTGGGAGCGTGCCTTGGCTCTCAGCATTCCCCACCACCTCCCACTTGTCTAAGCTAATACTTGCAGCATCTTAAAAGGAATATGAATAAATAGAGCACGTTTTGGAGAGTGCATGGATGAAGTTAATAGGACCTGAAAATTACTCTTATGAGTCACCTCCCTAATGTATGTGCATGTTAACACTCACAGCGTGCTCACCCTCCATCTTTGTTTTCCAGAGCTTTCACTGGGGGGTTTGGCTGGGAAGGCACACACGTGGGAGGCACTGCTTATTCCCCACCTCAGCTGGACATCGCCATTAGAGAGGGAGTGGGCTAGCCCACGGCATCTCATGACTGTTCAGTTGCTTTGCTCACAGTGTGACACACAATAAGTCTGCAGACCTCAGCTCTTCTTGACGCCGGCCTCCTGCTGGAGAGCAGCCTCAGCCTCCAGCAGAGCGCTGCTTTCCCAGTGCCACCCAGCTGTGACCCTGGTACAAGAGACGACAACCAGGCTGGCAGCACAGATATTGGCTCCCAGCCCCTGGAAGTCTTCAGAGCACACATGAGCCAGAAGTATTTGGCCTGGAAAAAGCGCTCCCCTCAGGTAAGGGGTCTGCTTCCAGCAGCACTGCTCACAGCCTGGAGCACTCCCGTACCAACCTGCGCCCCGGGGGCAGGTGGGCAGCACAGAGCACCCATGAAAGGAGCTCAGTTTTGGCTGCAGCAAGAGGTTGGACCACTCATACCTTTGGCTATCCCCATCTCTGTGTGTCCAGCTCAGGGCTGAAACATTCTTTTAGTTGCTCAAAGCAACCTCAGGCTCTTGCATCCAGATAAACTCCTGCTGTAGAGGGATGTGAAGTCAGCCCATGTGGAAAGCCGGTGCTGGCAGCTCCCTGGAAGGGGCTCTGACTGCACCGAGGTGCAGCTGCAGCACTCGCTGTAAAACCACTGCGTTCAGGGCAGCCACAGCACTCAGAGAGCAGCTGCCTGTGCTGTGGAGCAGAACCAGCCAGGTCTTTGGTGCAGCCCCTTGGCACCACCTGGAGCTCAATATCGCACAATAAAGTGGGATTTATCATCTGGGAGGTGTGGGCAGGAGCCTCGTGCAGATGACAGCACTGAGAGAGCACCTACCTGGGGGGCAGGGGACTTGTATCTCCTCTGAGCTGCTGGAGGATGAGCAGGACAGGAGGGGCACAGCCCAAGGGTTCCCCCCTTTTCCTGCTCAGAAGGATGCTCCCAGACCACAGATCAAGAACAGGTACAAAGAAGAGGAAAGGGAAAGATACTTGGAGGTGCTTAGCAAAGAGCTATGCCTTTCAATAGAGGGAGATGCCCCCATCCTCATGGTCCCCACTCTTAGTCCCCACATCTCCACCCTGCTGTAGCACAAGGAGGGGCCAAATGCCCAGGAGTCATCAGGTCCTGTAACACCCTGCAGGTGAGACACCGCGGCATCACCGAGCCGCCCTCAGCATCCTTCTAGCCACAAATCCACCTTTGTGTGAGGTATGAGCCTTGCCCTGCTGCAGCCAAGCCAGCCCCAGGCACAGTCCTGTGAACCAACAGGGGGTTACTCCTCCGTCCCCTCCAGCAGCAGTAGCCCCCGTTCTGCCCCTCCCTGGGTGACCACAGAATCGCAGCACATACCTGGGTTGGATCCAAGGCGAACACTTGGGATAAAGCATCTCTGTAGCTCATTCTCCCTCCTCTGAGCCATTTGCTGCCTTCACATTCATCTGAGGAAGGCTCTTCTCCCTAAATCAGGGCTCAGGACTCATGTAGGATTCGGGCATGTCCCACATTGCAGACAGGTATGCCCAGAACTGATCTGCAGGTGAGCTCAGAGCCAGGTTTAGTGCTAGTCCCTTTCTCACTACATTTTGAGGCATAGTGGCTCTGCAGCCTGGCACTCAGACAAGGAACAAAGGCCCCTCTTTATCTCCACATCCAGCATTACTGAAGCTCAGGAGCCAGCAGGAAAATCCCACACAGATTTCAGAAAATGCCCTTACCTAGCTGTGTACCACTAAATGATGTTTTATCATTCTCTGCTTTGAAAACTCTGGCTGCAGAGAATAGGGCTATTAAAAAACAAACAATGAGCAATTGACTTAATGCAGAGCCCAACATAATATCCGTGAGTTGCAATATCAGCTCTTTTATCAGCCTTAAGTAAAACCTTGCTATTATTCAGCAGTAATGAAACCCCTGCTGCTGTGGCTGCAGATAACGCAAGGTGAGAGGAATACCTGCACTTAAAGAGACACTACCATAGGGAAAGATGAGGAACAGCTCATCACTACCTGAGCTTTGACACTCAGAGTCCCGAGTTCTGCACACTGGAGGTGCACAAATAACTGGTCCAACCCATGAGGAAATCCACTCTGCCCAGCCCAAGCCATGCCCCACTGAAGCAGAGCCACATGGAGCTGCAGCAGGTCTCAGGCCAGAGCCACGTGTGGAAGGTCAGCTTCAGAGCCCTCGGGAGGGCTCCACGGGCTGCAGCTCGAGCTCAGGTGTACCAACCAATTTCAAGCTGAAGCATTTCATCCTTTAAAGCATTTGCTGCTGGCCAGAGCATGACAACTTTAGCCCAAGGGGGAAAAGCTGCAGAGAGCACAGCACAACCCAGAGCTGCTTCTGACAGCTGAAACAACCTGTGATTAGGAAGACATCAGTACCCCTGATCACGGCAGGGCTGGGAGCAGGAATATCTCCATCCCCATCACCATCCTGCCTTTAACTGTGGGATTTTGAACTCCCACTTTTTTATTTTTTTTGCAAGGCATATGAAATAGGACACAAAGAATCAAAACCTGGGGGTGTCTCAGCACCTCCCTCCCTGGTAAGGATTGATGCTTCTCAGAAGCTTTGCCCATAGCAGGGATCAAGCACAGCTGGCAGGGTTCATCCAGGCTGGACCTGCTGGAGGGCTCAGCTACTTCAGCAGCACACCCCATTTCAGGCAGCCAGTTATTTTTATCAGCTGGAACACTGTTAGTCTGAGCTGATGCACATGCAAACACAGCTAGAGGCAGTTGTGCCATCGGACAACCTCCAGGCAGGCCCTGAGCAAAAGCTCAGCACCTTGGGCTGCGTCCTTTTTATTTTACTGACATTTGGAATATCTATTGCTCTTTTCAGTTTCAGCTACTATCACTTGTTCCATGTAACAGATGTGTTGGCCAACCTAAAGCCACTCCAGGTTGTGTTCATGATAATCCTGATCCCAGCCTCCCCTTCCAGACCCTGACTCACTTCTTGCTTAACTCTTGCCCTGAACCGAGGTCCTCTGTAGGATTCATTCAGGGAGGGCCCCAGGCAGAAATATCCCAGCAGACTGAAGACCCTCAAGTGCTCAGCAAGCAGTGTGGATCTCCTGTGAAGCTGTTTGGTTTATCCCAAAGACAGGCTTGCTGCCTCTTGTATTTCTGGTGATGTATATGTGGAGGTGCCCATCCTGCACATCAGAGGACAGCCAGCACAGGGACAGCTGGGGACCAGTCAGCATGGCCACACTCAGGCACTGCTGTATTGGAACACTGCTCCACTACCTGTACCCCTTCCCATCACAGCATTGCCAAAGCCACAACCCCCTGAGGCCACGGAGAGCCTTTCCACAGGTGGGATTGGGGCACAGATGCCAATGGCAACCCTGTGCTCCCAGCAGCAGTGTGCCAATGCCACCTGGCACAGAGAGCCTGCCAGGTCCAGCTACTGACAGCCAACTACATCCCAATTCACATGAAAAATAGGGTAATTTATTATAAAGTTCAAAAATATCAATATCATTAACTGGACAGCTTACACTAGAACACAGCAGCCAGAGAAAAACAGACACTTCACAGCCACAGCAGAGGTCTGGGCCCACCGGTCAGGGTTCCTGCTTACCCTAGAAAAGATGAGATTTGTCCTTGAGCACAGCAGCCAGTCACAGGGGGTTGAGAAACTGAGCACAAAACATACCCCACACTTCCTCACCTTCCATTCCTCTGCAAGCTGAGCATCAGCTTCATAGGAGGTGGGAGGGTATTGGTCAGTGCCTTGGGACAGATGGGTCTAGAGCAGTGGAGGATCCCATGCAAAGTTACTGGTGATGAAGACTCTCCCACAAACCCTCCCCAGTTTTCAGGGCAAGCTCTCTGGGTCATGGTGTCATGAAGCTTCTGGGTCAGAGGGAGCTGCCCTAGGTACCAGCACAAGGTGCTCAACTGAATTTTGGTAGCCCTAACACCCAGGGGATGAAGGTGCCCAGGGCTCTGTGCACAGCCAGCATCACCTCAGCAGCATGTCTGGGACTGATGTGTCCTTGCTGGGGAAGACAGCCGCAGCCCTACAATCCTTGCCTGGTTCACATGGCAGAGAAGGGAAAAGAGAGCTGTCCCAAAAAGCTCAGAGCCTGAGGGCATCTTCCCAAGCTGAAACCCCTCTGAGTACAGACCACTTATGATACCTCACCTAATAAAGGAGGGCAGGTGGGACTATTACTCATGCAAGAAGAGTCCTCACCTCATGCTGCAACAAACTGCTGCTCTCATGATCCGCCTCCTGCTCCTGGCCACTACCATCCCCACTGCTCTCACAAGCTGGTGGCTTCTGGGCATCACCATCACCACTGTCAGTGTCAGAAGCATCTTCCCCACTGCTGGACACAGACGAGTCCCTCAGTCCCTGCTCCATGCTCGCAGCCAGCAGCTCTGGGATTTCCCCCAGTGGGCTGGGCATCTTCCACCTGCAGAGACAGGGACTGGGTCAGACTGCAGCTCCATAGACAAGCAGCACAGAAAACCCATGAATGATCTTGTGAACTCACCCCAGAAACCTCTCCTTCTATAGCCAAGGGAAGAAGGACCGAAGCATGTCCTTCCAGCTCAGTATCTGAAAGTCTACCCAGGATGAAGTCAGCAGCTGGATGCAGCAGGCCTACTCACTCACCTGGAGAGCTGATGACTCCTTCAACAGAACAACCCCATCCTGCTCTTCAAACTCCAGGTCTGCTTCAGTGTCATTCTGGGACTTGTACTCCTCGCTGTCTGTTTCCAAATCCGAGGGCTGAGGAGGGAAAAGGCAGCCCCTGAGGGAGGCATCAGCCCTGCAGCCAAGCAGCCATGGGTGGCCATGGTGCTGCTTTGCAGGGACACTAACTTAATGGGAATTCTGGTGTTATGGGGCAAGCAGGGCACCCACACTTTCAGACACTGAAGATGCAATACTCAAGTTCTCCTTGGACAGCCTGCAGCCCCCAAAGGGCATATGACAAAGGAAGCCTCTTTGTGTCTCTCTGTGCAGGCTCCTTTGCAGCCCTACACAGAGAAGCTCCCAGTCCACTGGGAGGACAGGAGGGCAAACAATCCTGACTCACTTTCCCAGGGGGAAAGGATCTGCTCAGGCACCAGAACACCATACCTCGTATGTGACATCTTCAGGGTCATCCTCCAGCAGGTCCCCCTCCAGCACCTCCACCCAGGACACCTGCTCCTCCAGAGCAACATCAGTCCCGTTTCCTCTTGTTTGCTTTACTAGAAGGGTTGATCAGAGCTTCTCGGATCTCTGCAGGGATCCACAGGAGGCAGAGCGCATACAGAATAAACACACAGCTGTGCATTTCCCAGCTTTCTACCCAGCACAGGAGCTTCAAATCCAATGTGTTTGGATGTCATGCTCCTGTGCTTCTGGCTGCAAACCCTTTGGGTACTCCAGAAGTCCCCAGCTCTTACCCTTGGGCATGTTGCTTTGGCCCCAGTCCACTGGCAGTTGGCCCAGGACTGTTCCGGATCCTGGTGGGGACGATGGAGAGAAGGAGACGCGTCAGCCTCCCGTAGCGCTTCTTGGCGAGTCGTCCAGGTCTGGTGGGAGACTGTGTGGGGCAGACTTTGCTGATAATTGTCTCTACAGGGACCACAAGCCCAACCCAGGCTGATACTTTCTGAAGGATCTTCAGCTGCAAGCAAGAGAGAATTACATTTGGTAGCATGAGACCTTCCAGTTACTTCAAGTTCTCAGTGAAAACCTTGACCTTTGAGCTCTGCTCTCTCCCAGCACTAAGTAGGACCAACTTCAATCAGGTAAACAGGGACCAGTGAGGTTGTACCTTGTCCCCCTTCTGGTACAGAGAAGAGAAACACAAATGCTGCAGTAACCACTAGCAGAAGAGGAGTAAGATAAGACCAAATCAGACAGAGAATGAAATGGGAATGGGAGAAAAGCAGAGGATGAGCACACACTGACTGCAGAGCAGGGGGGATGAAGAGCAGAGAGGATGATAGAGCAGAGAAGCCAAGCCACCACCAATCCTAAGGTTTTACCACCCCATCCCCTTGCCCTCAAGCCCCTCCAGCAGAGAAGCATCACCTACCAGGTTCCTGACAAAGCCTAGCTGAAATACCTGGCACAGGATCCTGCTAGGCAGGGAGTAGGGATTTGTTGCGGACAGCCATCTGCCCCTACACCGAGAGAGAAAGGTCAGCCATCCTGCACTCCAGGTTCACCCTGGCCCCAGCAGAACCCACCCCATGTACCTGGAGGAGCTCTGCACACACTGAGCTGCTGTGTGACTAGGACTGCTGCCACCTGATGCTGCCCAAACCTGGCTTAGCCTAGCCTGCAGCCCCCAGCTACTTGTAGTTCATGGCCCAGCTGCTCCCCATTGTGCTGACGAGCTGCTTGCCCCACTCACAAGTGAGGCAGCCCCATGTGCCCTTCTCTGGGGGTTCCTTGGTGTCAGCACTCAGCCTGATGCCTCATTCAAGGGGGGTGATAGCTCTCAATTTCCTCTACAATTTGGGATACTCATCTCCCAGTGTGGGTTGTAGCTTGCAGAGCCAAGGCTCTGGGGTGGGATGTCTCCCATCTCTCTGTGCTGGTGCAAATAGCTAAGGCAGAAGGCTGAGATGCCAAAATTCAGACCCTCTGAGCCCCCTGATGGGCCTAAGGGAGGGGGACCCTCAGCTTCCTCCCTGTGTGCACCCTCCCATCGCTCCTGCAGTGCAGTGAAGCTGAGTCTGGGGTTTGTTTGAGTCAATAAAGCTGAAAGGAAGAGAGCGAGGCCAGCCTTTCCTTGCGTGACCCCTCCAGTTGCCTTCCTGTGCCTGAGTGGTTGACAAATGGCCTCCACTCTGATGACAGCAGGTGCAGGGATGTGTCAGCCGGTGTCACCCAGCATCACGGCAAGCAGAGCAATCAGGGCTGCCTGCAGAGCATAAATATGAGGCAGTGCTCCAGCAGCTGCCAACCCCACCATGCTGCATCGGGAGGCAATGCTCTGTCCTTGCTCACTCCAGGACAAGAGCTCCAGGGACAACTTCCAGCACATGGTGACCACTAACCTGCATCCCACAGTTTACCATCCCCTCTCTGGACATCCTGGAGAAACACTGGTGTGTGGGGCCGCTGGTGAGGACAGCACAGGGCAGCAGCTCGGGGCTGGTGCTGGTGGACACACGCGGTGTGCCTGGCTCCATCCCATCCTGCTCCAACACCGAGCTCGCCACCAGCACGTAGACTATCCCAAATCGTCTTGCCTGGGCAGCTCTGCCCCTGCCCCATCTCCCCAAGGTCATCACACTGTACGGCTTTGTCACCCTGGGGCAGAGCCCTCAGGTCACCTGGGAAGAGGCCTTGTTTTTCCACACAGGTCGCCCTCGAGCTCCTGCTGCTGAAATACCCCCCAGGTCCCAGCAGGAGCCAGGGCACTGCAGACACCCCCGGGTACCTGGGGCTGCTGGAGATGGGTGCTCCCACACAGGTGGAGGCCTGAGGGACCACAAGCGGATGAGTCCCAGTGCCACCAGTCCCAGGGATGTTGGAGGCAGCCGGCAGCCAGGCCCTCCCTCCACCCTGGAGACGTGCCATGTGGGGTGTGCTGGAGAGCAAAGAAGCTGAGAAGACAGCGAGGAGGCTGGTGATTCACTTCCTGAAGGTGGGATCCAGCCTGGAGCTCTCTGCTGGGAAGTTCTCATGGAGAACTTGCTCCAGAGGTTCCTCAAGAAGTCCCTGTGCTCCCCAGGCAGCTCAGGCCTCTGCGTTTTACTTGCCACTGACTTTACAAAGCTGTTCAGGAAGCAGAGGATCCCTAAAGACTTGGGACAGAGGCACTTTTTGCAAATACATTGACTGCCAGGCAGCCAGACCCAGACCCTAGGGCAGCGGATGGGTCACTCTACCTGGAGGAAAAGCATCTGGGTGGCATTGCCCTTGGCCAGGCACCAGAAGCGCTCCCCACAAGGCAGGGGGGGTCAGGGCAGGCTGGGGAGCAGAGTGGTGGCAGGTCTGTAACTGCATGGTGGCCTAATAAAGGTAAAAACATCTCAAGCAATGAGTGCGCCTCTGTTTTTTCCTTAGCTGTCCCAGCAGTTTGGTATCAACAAGATATTTTGGTGCCAGCCACACACACCCCATCCCCCCAGCACCCTCAGTGCACCCCCCCATCTCTGCAGCTCCTGGCATTTATCTCCCAGCCACAGCAGGCTCTTGATGGGCTGAAGCAGGAGGCTGCCTGTGCCCTGTGGTACGAGCTGTTGCAGGGCAAGGGAGAGGGGTGATGATGGCAGCTGCTTGACAGCTGCTGTCCTTCTCCATGGCTGTGGGGTGGGACATTTGTGTGTGTTGGGGACCCTCCCTAGGTGAGGACCCTCCCTCTGCTTTCAGTCAGGCAGGTCAGCCTCCTCCGGAGCAGTGACTCCCCACCATTCCCAAGGGTTCAGTCACCAACCACTTGTAACCAGCCACAGTTGAGACAGTTTCACATTGCTGGCTGTGCACTCATAAATTGTTTTTTGCTTTTATTGAGAAGCAGAACTCGTAAGGCAAGAACTAAAGCATCTCTGGTCAGCAATGCTCTGGGGTTAATGCAGAGCAGCCTCTTGGATCAGCAGTGTTGGGCTGTGGCCACCGTCCCTCCACAGGGCTTTTAATTCCCAGCAGGGACCCCCCCAGGGTGGCACTGGGTGGTCTGGTCCTGGCCAGGCATCAACAGAGACCCTGCAATGAAACCTCACCAAGCTGGCAGTAGTCAGGTTTTGGGTTGGGGCCATTAAGCAGGGAGTTAATCATCTTGGTTTGATTCCCACCTTCCAACTCTGTTCCTCCAACACTTTAGCCCCAGTAGATGATATGCCCTTCGCAGGACATGCTGATCCCCAGGCAGCTCTGCACAGTGTGCAAATACAGATGAGCAAAAGCAAGATTCAGGGGTCCCATAGTTGTGTTCTTTTCCAGGTATCCTGGTTTCAGTTAGGACAGAGTTAATTTTCCTCCTAGTAGCTGTTAGGGTGCTCTGTTTTGGATTAGAATGAGAAGAGTGCTGATAACACGCTGATGTTTTAATTGTTGCAGAGCAGTGCTTACACCAAGCCAAGGACATTTCAGCTTCTCGCTCTGTCCTGCCAGCGGGCAGGCTGGGGGTGCAACAAGAGCTAGGAGGGGACAGACCTAGGAAAGCTGACCCAAACTGGCCAAAGGGGTATTCCACACCATCTGATGTCATGCTAAACAATAGATAGGGGTGGCTAGCTGGGGTGGGGGGGGCAGGCTGCTCGGGGTTAGGCTGGGCATTGGTCAGTGAGTGGCGAGCAATTGCATCGCTCATCACTTGTTTCGTACACATTATTATTAGTAGTACTATTATCATCATTATTGTTATTATTATTATTGTTATTACTATTTTTCTGTCTTAGTAAACTGTCTTTATCTCAACTCACAGGCTTCACTTTCCCATTTCTCTCCCCCATTCCAGAGAGGGAGGGGGGAGGGTGAGTGAACAGCTGTATGGTGTTTAGCTGATGGTTGGGTTAAACCACAACACCGGGCAATGCTCTGTGAGTGCTGGTACCCAGAGGACATCAGCATTGGCATTAAGTGGGTGCAGAGCCTTCCAGAGTCCAAATCTCGGTTTCCTCCAGGCGTGTACGTGCCCTCTGCAATGCTTACTGCATGGATATTAAAAGCTTTTTCTCCAGCACAGGAATATGTGACAGCCAGGGCTGCTAGAGAGTGAACTGGGATCAGTTACATGATAGAAAATCCACTAAACATTTATTATAAGGAGCTCAGACACTATGGGGTGAGTCAGGGACCAAGACTTTAAAATTTAAATTGATCTCCAGCTCCTGAGGACATTGCCTCTGCTCTGTACTCAGGGCTGAGAGGGCAGATAGAGTTACCAGAGATTAATAAACAAGCAGTTATCAGTTAGCTGAGCTCTGATATCTGAACATGTGCACGCTCCAAGCTGACAAGCAAATGTGAACTAAGCCATGCTGCTGTAAACCTCTCTCTTTCTTCTTTTGGTGCTTAAGCTACTGCACAGTAGTTGCTCTACCCAACTGCCTCTGTCATCTTCCATCTTGTCATTCTCCAAGCATGGGGGCAAATCCTCAGTAGCAGTTCACTGAACCTGTGTGTCCACTGTATTAAGTAAACACTGGAGATTGGGACCAGGACTTCTGGGTTTTATCCCCTGGTCTGTGACCTTCCTGAGCTCCCGGGAACATTTGTGTGCCTCTAACCTTGTCTACAAAATTAGAAGAAATCTTCTGTGTTTCACAGGTGGATCACGGGGCCTCATCCATTCTTCTTCACAAGACATCTCTGATGCCCTTGGCAGGATTTCCCGAGGGAAGAAATATTACAATACGTTATTACAGCCTGCCATGGTACAAGACTCATTTCCTCTGGGTGTGCCAGCACGGGGATTATCAGCCTGGACAGAATCACAAATTAAAGGTTTGTTTAAAATGATTATGGTGGGGATTGCAAGGTGGCAGGCATGCTCTGGGGCCAAGCAGGGAGGGAAACACCAATTCTGGCCTCACAGCCTAGCCAAGGTGCTCAGTGGCAGAGCTGCACCTCTGCCATGTTTCAGTAACATCTCTACAAGTCATCTCTCCAGCAAGGAGAACGTTGCCCACCATGCCTCAGGTGTGCAGGATGCTCCTTCCTGCACAGCCTGCCCCGGGCAGCGAGGACATTACAGTGGGAGACATCACATAATCATTATTTATGAGATAAATAATTGTTAGCAGCGGCTGATTATTCTGCCTGGGCCAGATACATTTTCTAAATGCTGTTTTTGTCTGACTCAGAATTTTGTCCTAGCCTCCTGCAGGTACAGGCAGCAGAAATGCTCAGGGCTCATTATCCCCTCTCAATCCCACATTCACTGGCTCCAGCAGCACCAACTACTGCCTGGCTGTCAGTGGGTGGAATTAGAAAAGCAATCAGCTGAGCCCATGGGGAGCTCCCCCAGACCCTGCAGCAGCTGCTGCCTGGGACCCCCCAGACCCTCCTAGCACCAGCCCAGAGCCAGGCACTGCTCCCATTCCCCAGTCTTGCACTGCAGCCCCTGGCAATTGCCTGCAGCCTTTCCTTTTCCAGAGGTACTCAGCTCCCTCCACTGCCATCTCCTACAAGCACCGGTCTTACCGGCTCTGCAAGGCCACCAAGGGGATGCCAATTGCTCAGTGCCACTCCTCTCAGGTGCAACAAATGTTACCCAGTGAGAAAGCAGCCCTTTGCCTACCCTGGGCAAGGGGAGATTTCAGCTTCATAGACCCAGCGCCAATCAGCAGGCGGGAGCAACGAGAATTTCTCCCTGTGATTTTTATGCAAGTGAACACCTGGCCTTCCCGAGATCAATACTGAGCCTCA